GGGAATTTGGGCACACACACACTTTATTCAAACCACCATTGCAGGAACTTGAACTGCACAGTTGGCCATGTGGGATCTAGCTCCCCTAACTGTCAGGCCATAGGACTGGCCCAAGCTTATGCATTTTTAAGAGCTCCTCAGGTACTTCTAGAGCCAGCCAGGTTAGCTTTGATCTATAAGGATGGGAACAGGAAAATAGCTAATTAAAATACACAGGAAAGAAAAGCAAACATTAGGATTGATCCACACAGCAAAATGCAAGTCTGCCTCAGTAAGGAACCTCTGTTTCTTATTTACTCCTCTGGGTGAATGGGTTTTAGGGTGGGGTGGTGGTGAGGGATATAATGGCAACCAGAAGTGTAGAGTGAGAGGAGTAAAAAAATGGAGCCCTAGAGGAGGAAAAAGGCCTGAAAGAGGAAACAGGATCCTTGGCTTGGCCCGTGATCCCATTTATGAGGCTCTGGGGCTTCTGGGGCTGGGGAGATCTATTTCTGAAAGATTAAGAGCTGGTATTTTATTTCAGAAGATTTCCCTCCATGGCTTATAGACCTCACCTCTGACTCAGGACACGCGATTCCTGTCAGTCATCTTTTTTGTTTGTTTTTGAGATTTTTGCCATAATGCGCATGTACTTGCCAGAGAGACAGAGTGAAGAAAAGTGAGAAATCAGTCCCAGAGAGATGACCGTGCTGCAATCCCTTCTCCATTTTCCTCTTGGAAATGTACCCAGCATGATTTTCAAGCTACTGGGCCCAGGACTCAAACCTCAGAGTCAGTCATGTAGGATCCAGTGGCCTTAACCTCCACACTACCTGCTCGCCCCCCATCAGCCATCTTGGTCAGCCTTTTCCAGGCATATGGTGTCCCCTGTCTGTGCCTGGGTTTTTCCATCACAAGTCCATGAGCTCAGCTAATTCACACTGACTAAAGGGCCCAGTCTCCTTCTAGAAGCCCTAGCATGTGAAAACAGGATCCTAGAGAAGCCCACAAGAGTGTCCCTGAGAGAGAACTGGGAGGCGGAAGGTGTGGAGATAGTCTTAGCAAGATCTCTTAGCTCCTGTCTGACCCCACTCTCCACAAAGATGAATGCTGGAACAAAACATCAATCTTCCTGAGAAGTCAGGAAGGGGAAGGGGCCTCCCCAGTTAGTGGCTTTTGCTGCCCAGGGAGCCCCAGCCTCAGCAGGCTGAAGGGAGAAAGAACCCAGTACTTACCGGTCAGGTACTTATAGGCAGGGTGGGCACCAGTGCCAGTGACTGCAACCTTGCTAAACATGGGGAAAGAGACACTGTAGGTGCGGCGGGCAAAGTTCTCGATCTCCTTGTTGCTGTCGGGCTCCTGTTGGCCGAACTGGTTGCAGGGGAAGGCGAGCACGTTGAAGTGGTGGGGACCCAGGTCCCGCTGCAGCTGCTGCAGGGCTCGGTAGTGCTGGTCTGTGAAGCCACACTCGCTGGCTACATTCACCACCAGGGACACCTGGCAGGCAGACATGAAACAAAAGCCAGACACACAGAGAAGAGGCATGCGCTTGCACATGCCCTGACACATCTACATATGTGAGTTCTTCAACAATGAATCCTCTCCCTCATATACAAAGATAGTACGTACGCATAAATATATGTGTGCAGTGCGCACACACATACACAAACACAGGCTCCTAGGCACAGTGAGATCAAACATACGAGGCCTCACAGATGTGTGCACATGAGAATGAGCATTCGTGAGTATCAGTACACACTACACATACTGGGTTCATGTCCATCATACACACACACACACACACACGCCTGCCACCACACAGCACATTCACAGAGAGAGGCGTGAACACTAGTGAGTGTATGTCGGGAAGTGATGTGAGGGAGCAGAAGGGCAGACCCGGGTTTAATTTTTGGCTCCGTCATCTAGCACTCATCAGTCCTATGTTTTGGTCTCCGTTCTAGAACATGAACCTACTGAAGGCGGGAGCAATGTCCACTTCATCTCTGGGCCTGGCATACAGAAAAGTCTCAGTGTCTACTGAATGAGTAAGTACATATACACACATACACAAATGGTTACACAGACAGACACAGATTTTCTTATTAAAAAGAATCCCAGGTGGCATGGTGGTTAAGGTGCTGGACTCCCACGAGGTGGACCACAGTTTAAGTCCTGGACCTGGTAGTTTGAGAATCATGCTGGGCATGTGTGCTTGTGTGCCCCAAATCCCTAGAGGAGAGTGCCCATTCCCAAAATCCTGAGAGGAGAATGGAGGAGAAAGGATTGCAGTATGGCCATTACTCATGAGGGATAATTTCTCACTTTCCTTCTCTCTGTCTCTCCTATCATCAGTGCACATGCTCTATGGCAAAACCTGAAAATAAATAAAAAGAATCTCAGGACCCCAGGGCAATCAATCCCTTTAGTCTCCTCACCACCAGCAAACAAATCACTAGACTAATCCCTACATTTTTAAAGACTTTAGGTAACACATATAAAACTAACTGATGGAATTTGATTATAATTCCGTAATTAGAATTTTGGCACCAATGCTATTTTTTAGCTTAAATTATTAAAGGATTAAGTGATATATTATTAAAGGATTAAAAACTCTACTACTGCAGGGCCAACCATTAGATGCTTAGTCCTGCAATCAAAAATGTCTCCAGGCATTGCAAAACGTTCCCTAGGGCAGGGGGTGGGGGTAGGGGAAGGGCAAACACACCACCAGTTGAGAACTCCTGGGCTAGATGACCGAGCACAGAGCAGTAACTCCTCTACCGGCCTCTACCCAATGAGAAAGGACCCATTCCCCAGAGCCATAGATTGTTAGCATAACCACCCCCAACTGTGGTCACTATGTACCATACTCCATCTGAGGTGGTGAGAAACTGGGACTCTTAACTCCCTTCTCCAGTTAGAGGTCTCTCTCTTTCTTCCCTGCTGGGCCCCTGGGTGATGATAGCATTAACGGTTGCTTATTTTTAACCTACTTTTTGTATGGCTGCCCGCTCTTTGAGAAGAGGGTACATCTTGCTTCTAGTTCCATCCCTGAAGTGAAAAAGCTTGATCTTTAGAGACCAAAACACAGACACGCCCAAATAACACAGGCTTAGTTTATGTAAATATATACACGATCACAGATACAGATGTGTACATACAGGCAAGCAAACAAAGCATTCACACACACACACTACACTCAGGCCCACGCATGCACAGTCCCACACTATATACAAGCACATTCCGAAACGGTCACTCCTACATACATACTCAACGCTGGCCTCAATGACTGCCATTACAGTTAACCTGAGGGTGTGAAGCACGTCTGTCTTGCCCATGGCTATGTCACCAGGGCTGGGCCCAGTACCAGGCATGTTGTAGGAGCCAGTACATTTTGGACAATATGCATGAATTAGCATATCGTTCAAAGAGCAGAACTAGGTTGCGTTAACTCACGGCACAGTTACAGCCTCTCTGTAGTGACTGTTGCTTGGCCTCCCACTGAACTTGGCAACAATGGGTGAAGATTCTGGAGCTTGACTGTCTGGGTTCCAGTTCTAACTTTACTTCTCAGTAGCTGGGTGACCTTGTTCTATTTTTGTCTTAACACTTATTATGACTAGGAGTTACATTGTTCATTTCTTGGTTCTTTGTTTATTGTCTCCCTCTGCCCCATCTATTTCAAACTCTAAGTGGAAATGTGTTTGATTATCTCCAGGAACTGGCCTAGTAGTAGAATACAGTAGGTGCTCAATAGTGAACAGTGGATTAATGAGTAGGAGAGCTGGCTGGTGCTAAACCTGGGGCTCTCTGGTGAGCTGCGCTAGAAGGAAAGGGAGGCCCGACCGGGAATAGGCTCTGCTTTTCTTAAGCCTTTGCTCTGCCTCCAGAATGAGCTTTCTGCTGGGTTCCACCAAACACAGGTACAGTGCACTCTACAGTTTACCAAGTGCTTCCACCCTGTCATCTCATTTGAAACTCACAACACCCTGGGGACAGTCAGGACAGGGATTACTCCCCTAGCACTCCCAGCCTAATTGAGAATTTCAAGGCTCATAGAGTACTTTCTGCACTGAAGATAGCCTTGCTCCCAGGAGAAGAATGTTGGCAGCCATTTTTGTGCGATTCACCCAAATCTGGATGCTAGGCCCACCTATCCATTAGCGTTCAGCTCCTCACACTTCCCACACTAGAATTACCACCCAGGTCCATCCAGAGAGGCAGAGGTGAGGCCTTCGTTACACACAGTGCACCCCTGGGCTTCTAAATGTAGTGTTCAAGGCCCCTCTTGATTTCACCCTGACCTGGTCAGCCTCACCTTCCGTCACTGTCCACCTCAGGTTTTACACGCCTTCAAACACAACTGTCACCTACCCTGGTGTTGCCCTCACCATGTCGCCACCTTGGAAGCAAGTTATGGGGATGGCAGTGGTGATATGGACACCTCTCTGTCTGAAATGCTCTTCTTAGTTTTGCTAAAAGTGGATTTTAAGATTCAACCAAGGCAGAGTGCCTCTCTGAAGTCTTCTCTGAGCTGAGATTCCTTCTTGGTAAGGAGGGAGGCAGTTAGCCTGAATGACTCTTCACTCAGTCTGAGCTGCCATTCAAGTGTTTGCCTGGACACCGCACTTGTGGGACAGTGGGGTTTTCTTCCAGGTTCTGTCGCTTTGTAGTGCTGTGTGGCCTTGTGCAAATGCTTTCCCTCTCTGGGCATTAGTTTCCTCTCCTCTTGGGTAAGGTTTCCTGCATCTAAACTGCTAACTTCCTTGGCCACTGCATATTCATCTTCACAGTGTTCTCAATGACTCAGTGTCAGAACTTTACGTGTTCCAGACGCGGAAACGGGGGGGGGGGGTGAGTGGGGTGAAGGCCACAGGATGCCGGGATGACTTTCCCCACTCGTTTGAGTGGCAGAGGCTGGGCCAGGGTGTCCAGCCTCGCGGAGCGCACACCCGGCTGCCCAAAGGCACAGCAGACGGCGGCGCTGGCTGGGCGAGTTTCGGGTTTCGCTGCGCTCCTGGGCCGTGCCACGTAGTCGTAGTCGCGGGACAGACGGAATGTAGGATCTGGGGGCCCGCGGCCCGGGGGAATGCCCAAGCGACAGGGCCACGTGGCCAAGGCCCGCCCCAGGCCGCACCCAGCAGGGTCCCGGGCGGTGGGGCGCCCCCATCAGGCCCGGCCAGGGAGGCTCCCCGGCCCCGCGGCGGGCACTGCCAGAG